TATGCCCACCTGGACGAATATGTGACTGAGCTCGAAGAAATCTACAAAGATCGCGACATGCGAGGACTGTACCAACACCTCAAAGGATCAGTGGGCCTCAGCGGGAGACTAGCGGGGGGACAGCAGTTCGTCGCGGATGAGAACGGCGTGTTGATCCGGAACAGGGACGACATCCTCCAGCGGTGGGCGAGATTCTTCAGCACCCTACTCAACACCAAATCCCCCACCCTGAACCCAGACATCATCGAACGAGTGACGCAGCGGCCAGCGACACGTGACACTCAACGGTTGGGAGATGTGCCAGAACTCGAGGAGGTGGCACGGGCAACGAAAGGCCTCAAGAACTGGAAGGCACCCGGCCATGNACCCAGACATCATCGAACGAGTGACGCAGCGGTCAGCGACACGTGACACTCAACGGTTGGGAGATGTGCCAGAACTCGAGGGGGTGGCACGGGCAACGAGAGGCCTCAAGAACTGGAAGAAAACCGGCCATGACTCCCTCCCTGCGGAGTTGCTCAAGATCGATGACGACGAACCCTTCGTCCTGGGACACCTCCATACCATCCTCGTCAAGGTGTGGAACGGGGGAGATATTCCGCGAGAGTGGAAGGATGCAACCATCAAGGTGCTGTACAAGAAGGGTGACCGGTCCAACTGTAACAACTACAGGGGGATTTCGCTACTATCTCACGTAGGCAAGGTCCCCATCAAGATCATCACCAACCGTCTAAGCGCCTTCTGCGAAGCCAACAACATCCTCCCGGAGGAACAGTGCGGATTTCGACCCGGGCGATCCACCGTCGACATGCTGTTCGTCGTGCGCCGCCTCCAGGAGCTGGGGCGGAGAAAGAAAATACCGCTCTACATGTGCTTCGTCGACTTGAACAAGGCGTATGATTCGGTGGACCGAGAGATGCTATGGAAGGTGCTGGCCAGGGCCGGGATTCCCGCGAAGCTGATCGAAGTCATCCGCCAATTCCACGATGGAATGCGGGCCCGGGTGCGCACGGACGACGGAGAACCATCGGACTGGTTCTTCGTGACACAGGGCGTGCGACAAGGATGTGTGCTATCCCCACTGCTGTTCAACATCTTCTTCGCCGAGGTCCTCGAGGTCGTTGTCATCCGATTCAGCGAGGATGATATTGTTCTGCGGAGCCTGGTGTGCTTGGAGGAGGGAAAGACGGAAGCGGGGGGGGGGGAGAAGACACCCCTTGACCGAGTTCGGAGGGCAGTATGGGGGATGCTGTATGCCGATGATGCCGGCGTCGTATCGAGGTCTGCATGCATGACATGGTCACCACTCAGCGGCCACTATCAGACACTGCGGTCGATATCGGTCCTTCGAGTTATCGGGTACAAGCGCAAGAAAGACACCTGCCGGCAGCTCTCGTACGCCCAGACGCTGAAGAGGGTCGAATGCCAGAGCGTTGAAGCCACGATCCGACAACGACGCCTACTGTTCGCGGGAGCATTGGCAAGGCAGCCGGACGGGCGACTCCCGAAACGACTGATGTTCGGCGAACTGGCAGGGGGGGGGAAGCGATGTAGGGAGGACAGGAACAGAACTGGCCGAAGTGTGTGCTCGACGATCTGAAGGCATTCGGGGCCGACCACGGATCTACGAAAACCGATCCATGTTGTCTCGGAATCCCGGTACCGAAA